TCCGGCCCCTTCTCCAACTCCCTCTCCCTCTGGAAAAACATCCTCATCTCAGTCAGAAAGAGGGCCTGGAAGACCCTTTGTTGCTCCAGGAGCCGGCCGATGGCACCGGTGCTACTTTCGGCCGCTTCAACAGTCCTCTCGAGAAGACTGTTGGTCCGGGCCAACTCTGCGACCATGTCGTTGACGGCCGCCACCCAAGCCTGATCGTCGTACTCCAGGAAATCCTGCTCCTCACTGATAATGCTGGGTAGGGGGCCGGGGACGATCTCAACAGAGTCGTCCGAAGGAACCGGACTCCTCTGACGCCTCTTCGCCTTACCCTTAGGAGACGGAGTCCCCGCAGCACGGGGCCGCTTCTTACCCTTGCCCTTGTCAGTATCCGTCCGGGCGGGTGGCGCCCCACCATGGCACTTCATCTTCGCAGTGCGACAGTGGTCACACGCGTTGACCGGCTTCAAAACATCAGTAAAACTCACATCCGGACGAAAGAAGTCCACTCACCCGGCCCGTGGCAGACACGCCCGAGTAAACGCAGGCCCGCTTCTTATCGGAGCAGGGCTTACAGGGTCGTCCGACGTCCTTAAAGCCAACAGAAACCTATGTCCATCAGACAAAAAACATCGGCCGACGAAATACGCTACTCACTGCAGGCCCGGACGAAGCGGACTTCTCAGCAAGCCTCTTCCGGGTCTCCTCTATGTCCTTCTTCTTCTGCTCCTCCCTTAATCTCTCCTCCTCCTTCAGCCTCTCCTCCTCCTTCAGCTTCTCCTCCTCCAAACGCTTTCGCTCGGCTTCCATTTCCGCGAGTACTCTCTCTTCCTCCTGGGCCAGCTCTTGCTGCGCTGCGTTTAACCGGGCCCGGATGGCCGCAAGCCGGGCATTGGTAGCCGAGGTAGAGTCGGATGGGGTCTGGGACATGATAGTGGAGTTGGTGGGTGGTAAGAATCAAAGGGAATGGCGTCCCATCAAAGACCCTCAACCCTTTATCAATTTTTCGCTAAAAATCCGGATCCGTTCTCGCGCTCTTATCATCGGATCGGAGATCCGGCCTTGGCCTCGTGGGCTCGGCCTTAATGGGGGGATACTGTCATATCCCATACATGAGGCTTCTCGTCCGGTCCGATCCACCCGATTCCTCGGGTCCGTTCTAGAATTCATTTCCCTGAGTCCCCATTTGTATAGGCTTCTTTCTGCCCCTATGTGTCCGGATCATCCTGACAGTTAATGTCCGGGTTCATTCTGATCCGTCCGTTAGTCTATTCATTTCCCTTTCATTTAACTTGTCCCCCCTGTTTCATTTAATCTCCGGCTCCATTCTCGATCGTCCGCAGCGGTTCATATCCGTTAGTACATTTTCTACATAGCCCTCTGATCCGAAGACTGCGCTTCGGCCGGAAACCCGTCGGATACACTACAGTATATAAACCCTTTGTAACCCGTAGTATTTCCTCAGTTCGAATATTAACTTAGACTCTGTTCAAATCCTCGTGTCCTCTCGGCTCTTGGGATTATTACCCTAGTCCGATCCTCCGAGCCTCGGGATTATATCCCTAAGGCTAAATACCTCCGCCTCTACCTTCGGGTAGTCTGTACCTTGTTAGTTTCTACCCGGACGAAGTCTCGGGTAGTCTTCTCTCTCTCGTCCGGCCCGTCTATACCCTTCGGCCGACGATATCCAACCCCCTGTAAATTAGGGGCACGTACTCGGGTAAAGAGCGCAGCGCACGAGCTGAAGCTAAGCCCCTCCGGTCCGACCCGTTGAACACGGTTTTAACAACACCGAACTGCATGAAATAATGATAACTGTGGTTCTCGATGAAGGCCTTAGCGGAGGCAACACCGTTGGGTCCTAAGCGAAGGTAAGCTGCGACTTGACCACAAGCGTCGTCCTTCAGATCACCACGAAACAGCAGTACACGAGCTTCGACCTGCAAAGGGCATCACAAGTTAGGTGAGCATATATTTCGACATTGACTTACCAGGCTTGCAAGAGCCGATGCATATGCATCATTACTCTTGAGTTTCAACTCAATAGATGTTGCGCCATGATCACGAGCTGCCTTGAGGAGTGTGTCGCGTGAAAAGGAAGTTTTTTCAATCAACTCCGGGTAGCCGTTAACGAAAGTCATATGGGCCTTCGCCTCGAGGATAGCACCTTGAATCACTTTTCGAGTTGTGACATCCTGGTCCATCATCTTCACCTTCCCGTGTTCAGTCAGGATGAGCTTTGCACTTGAAGATCCAGAGGGGTGCGAAGACGATCTGCTACCAACGGTACTACTGGTGTCCAACTTGTCCTCGGCATCAGAAAAATCTTGCTCTGACTTTGCCTTTACGATGTCGGCCTTCATGAGGTGCTGTTTGGGCTTGGCTCGAATTTTGGCCATGCTGCCAGTGGAAGCCTCAGAACGACCAATGGACTGGTACGAGGTTGATGCACTGATGAAGGTACTGGTGTCACCGTCGGACTTGGGCGCTGAGTCATCGCAAGACTCCGATTCGCTGATCATGAGATCGTTGGCCCACACAGGCGTCTGAAAATTCATGAAATCAGTACAGATTTGTCACACAAGGTGCTCTTACCTCTGCGGCTCGTTTACGATCACGAGCAGCCTGTTTGTTCACAGGGTTTTAGTTCTGAGTCGTGGTACCAGTTACTAGTACTTACTGGAGGGTTTTTCGCCTTGGAACTGGAGACGAAACTTGGAATCTGTGACATTGTGTGGCTCTGATCTGGATATGACTAAGCTGACAAAACTGAATTTACCTCTGTTGATAGCATCTTCGTGATAGATGTCGGGTCTTCAAAGTCGCTATCATCGGACTCCTCCGCATCGCTGGCAACATCAGTCTGGTCATTATCGGTATGGTCGCCCTCTTCTTCACTCCCGCTCTGTTCTAACTGATCTTCCTTGATGGATGTAAGTTGACGAGCAGTATGGCCTGAGGACTTTTTAGCATCCAGCCGCGCTGGACCAATATCAGTGAGTATGTTTGTACTGTTAGTGTTTGATCAACGGCTTACATTGTTTGCGTTTCACAGCCTCATCTTCGTCATCTGATGCTACAGGTGAGATAGTACCTACTAGTGTTACTACGTGGGACTCCAGGATTCAGAGAGGTACTAACAATAACGCTTCTTAGTTGATTTAGGCTTGGACTGTGACCGTGGTTGTGAACCCCACTGTGGTTCATCTTGTGCACTGGGTGTGTCTGGTGACCGGCGCTTAGTTGTCACTTCGTCTTCTTGTTCTGCCACTGGTGAGACATCTACTGCTAGTTGTCACTAGGTACTTCTGGATTCAGATAGGTACTGACTCTTCCTCTTCTTCGTTGATTTAGGCTTTGACTGCAGTTGTGAACCCCACTGTGGTTCACATTGCGTGTCACGTTGCGAACTTGGTGTGTCACGTTGCTGGCGCTTAGTGCATGTCTTCTCTGGCAGCCAGACTATGTTCTCGCATGTGAGTTTATTTTTTTTATCAGACTTCAATTGTACTGACCCGCGTTTTTCAGAGCATTCTTCTTTGCAGTTCGGACACCTGCAGACATACAAGCGGCTATAAGCTGCACGAACAACACCAACTGTGAGTACATACCCCGAGTGGGAGGAGTTTCACTGCTCATAGCGTGCTAATAAGATATATAGGTGGATTTAAATGGAACGAGTGTGGTTTTTGGAACGAGTGGGGAGACAAAGTTGAAGGTGAGAGATGAAATTTCTTTTGGGGGATGGAGGCTTTTACTGCTCTGTTTTCATAATCCGCTAATATACTGCATTCCAGGGCCACACCATTCTCGTACTTGGTACGAACTTTATCCCCTCTTTCCCATTGGTCATCACATCCAGTGCCACCCACCCAACAGACACCTGATTTTCGCTGTTCCCCAGATCTGGTTTTGGAACGAGCAGGGAGACAAGAACTTGAAGGCGAGAAATTCTGCATTTTCAGGAGGAGGTGCCTTTACTGATCAGCGCTAATTTACATTCTAGACCGTCCTTGAATTGTATCGCTAATTGTACTCTGGACCATCCTTGGACTGGATACCAACATTATCCTATCTTCCCTATCGGCCATCACCTCCAGCGCCAACACATCTGACAAGACACCAACATATATTATCTCCTGTCGGCATCCACGAGCATACTCCAACTGAAGACCCACAACTGCTCGGTGCTCGCACTTGGCGTTTAACGTCAACCCAGCACTAATTCTATTCTGGACTGAATTTCCGGTACCCTGTTATCACTCGCACCTTACTCGGCTCCGTCAAACCCTGAGAGAGGTACGGACACCCTCATATAATTCACCAGGAAAGGACCCCAGACTCTTCCTGTATGTTCGGTTCAGCTTATTTGTCCAACCACAACGAACGAGCAGGCCTATGTTCCACTCCTGCCACCACCACTCGCATACTCACCCTCGCTCGTCTTGATGACACCACTAACATATACACTTTCATTGCTGTCAGTCACAATACACTTATTTACCAGGACTATCTATACCCAGTTGGCATGGTGTCCCTGACACTTAAAATTCAGCCTTCAGACTATGGCTATATGCGCCAAGGTCCCAGAGCTCGTCACGCAGGAGAAGGGGCACCCTGGGTCCACTTGCGAAAAGGAATCGGTTGAACGTATCATTCAAGGTGAGGTCAGCGCTTCTAGCAGAAACATCACGAGGCAATGCCTTACTGAATACCATCCGCATCAATCCCATTACACTTGAGGTTGACTCTGCATTTGCAGAACCGGTATTTGATGCTGAGAAGGTGTCTCTGCACAAGCCTAAGCAGAACACCACTACCTCCACTTCCCTCGCCACTTTTTTGCCCCTGCCGCACTTTCCTTGCGTCCAAGTTCACACAAGATCATTGTTACTTGAATTGCACATGGGCGAAACTTTCAGGCCTTCCGCCACAGGAGATTGGACTAGCTGCTCGTAGTTACATGTAGAAACAAATGTATATAGTAATGAGAGATGCATTTGTAAAATACAACAATGTTTGCGTTAAGATGAAACAAAATGTTAGCGCAAAGAGGATAAGACAAATGGAAAAGTTGAGGAGAGAACAGAGGGATGCAACAAAAGGGGGATGGGTGGGTAGGTACAAGTGGACCATGCACAGCAGCTATGATGGGGTGACGAGTGGAGAGGGCGCTGTGGTGTTGTGAAGGGGGGATGGGTGGGTAGGTACAAGTGGACCATGCACAGCGGCTAGTATGATGGGGTGACGAGTGGAGAGGGTGCTGTGGTGTTGCAAAGGGGGGATGGGTGGGTAGGTACAAGTGGACCATGCACAGCAGCTATGATGGGGTGATGAGTGGAGAGGGCGCTGTGGTGTTGCGAAGGGGGGATGGGTGGGTAGGTACAAGTGGACCATGCACAGCAGCTATGATGGGGTGACGAGTGGAGAGGGTGGTGTGGTGTCGCAAAGGGAAAAGTGATCTGAAAAGTCAAAGTCAACATGAACCGAACATCACAGGAAGAGTCTGGGGTCCTGAATTATGTGAGGATGTCCGTACCGTGTTTCCTCAGGGTCTGACAGAACCGAGTAACATCCGAGTGATAACAGGGTACCATGAACTCTGTTACAGCATCGTGACCATGGTTGAATGTCCAGGATGCCATCGAAATGACCTCTCGGTCACCGGCTTGAGTCAGCATCTTGCCAAAACGAAGGACACACGCTGTAACGCTGTCCTTACTGCCTCTCGCACTAATTTGCGCACTCCAAATCCTCCCGCGCACAATCACTGGGTGTAGCCAGCGAGTATTTGTAGTATGAAAAAATGTGAGAACATGGTCACGTTGCATCAGCTTGAACCCATGACAGGTCCAGCGTCTCGCATATTAGCTATGTACGGCTAACTCTATAACTATGAACTATCTAAATGACAACAAATTGACTTGCTTGAACATCTAGCTGGCTGTGGCAAGGTGATGTAGTCCTAGGCTAAACTATATGTATGAAGTCCATCAGTACAACCTTTGTTTTGCTCTGATTTTGTGGCCGTTTTACTATGTGACAGCTAGCCAGTCTTAGGTGACCTAGACCCAGGTCAAACAAGCCATGTGATACTGATCAAAACAGATACTGATTTGATAGAGTAATACAATCACGTCGTGCGCATATATGCTACACCCCCTCGACACGTCAAATAAGCTCTGCCACGCCCTGCGTGAACCCTTGTTCTAAACACATCAACGGTGCGACATGCGTGACAGTGCTCAACACTACCAACCTCCAGTAATGAGTGGCTGGTTTGAGGCGTGAGGGTAAAGAAAGTCAGCTACATTTGGTGCACACGCAGATCCTGGGAGTCGACCAAATGAAGTGGTCATATTGCAGCAAGGTGTATGCAAGTGTTCGGGCAAGTTACACGGTGATGTGTTGGAGCCACTGCTCAACAACAGAAACAACAATATTGATGCGGTCATCTAGGATAGATGGTTGTCGGCCAGATACGAGCGCCAGGAAGCAGCAATCGCACTATGATGCGAGGGCACCCATGCTAGAAGATGTGGAGACAAGAGTCAGACGAATGTATATAGTGCTCAGGCAGCGGGAGGGTATACTGTCGAGGAAAGCAAGTGTGACAATAGGGAGTATTTGTGGAAGCGAACCAGCTTGTGTCTTGGGCGTCTATGTAAACGAGGCAGATTAATGTATTGAAGTAAGGTAAAAACGCACAATACACGCACCTCTGCAGCTGAGACACAGACGCTCACAAACACTCCAAAGTCTGCCTCGACCATGCTCAACACTACCAACCTCCAGTTAAATGTCGAAGTTTGTTCCAAGCACCACACCCCTTCGAACTTTTGAAGGTCATGAGAAGCGCGTAAGCACAGTCGCAGTTTTCCCGGATAGACGAAGAATGGTTACGGGCTCGTGGGACAAGACAGTTTGTCTTTGGGACTTGAAGACAGGTGTTGTGTTGAAGAAGATGGAGGGGCATCGCAGTGTAGTGGAGGCATTGGCAGTATCACGAGATGGGCAAATAATAGCAAGCGGTGATGGAGATGGAGAGGTCATTGCTTGGAACGGAGAAACAGGAGAATCTCTCACCCAACCCATCAAAGCCCAATCCTGAACCAACCTGAGCTCCGCTTCGACGACATACAACGGTCAGGATTGAATTCCTTTGCATCAGGTCCCCAGATGGCCAAAGAGCGATTGATCGCTGTGACTGATATCGTGATCAACGTCCCTGTGTCAAAAAATGGTCCTCACCTTGTTTCTGGCCATGTTCAGGTTTCCGAGTCTTCGTTGATGTGGTGGTAGTCAAAGAATAAGTCAGTCAACAAACCGAACGGACTTGGGCAAATATTTGCGACGAAACCCTCAGCCCTGGTGTTAAACACACTATCCATATGTGAGATCATACCAGCAATTTTCGGGTGGTCATATGGCACAAATATCTCGCAGATAGTGAGTCAAACTCGCTATATATTCCGAGGGTTGTCACATGTAGTTACATTTTGATACAGCCGTCTAGTCATGGGGTGTGAATTGGTCGGCGCTGGTTGTCTATTCAAGGATAGCTGTGTAGAGACGAAGCAGCATTGAAGGCATGTTGTCGAGGGCTATGACTAAGGTGAACTAGGTTTATTTTGGTGGATTTGTGCAACTTTGTCAAATCACGCGTTAAACGCAGTGAATGATGTGGATATGCAGGACCTCGAAGATGATTTGTTCGAGACGTTTGATGAAGAGCCACTAGGACCACTTGACGAAAGCAGCAGTGATGAGGAGGGTGCTGCTGATGAGCACGAGTGGGAGCCACCAGCCCAGGAGGACAACGGCGACACACCAGGCAGCGAGCTAGATGATCCCATGGATGACAACGGCGCTGATTGCGAATCACGCCAGCATATTGAACGTCAGATTGTTGAGCAAGACAGGATCTCAATTGTGCAGTATCCCGATATTCGAGCAGGAAAGCCAATCGCTCATGCGGAAGTTCGGGACGTTAACTCTGCATATGGTCGCAGCATCAATGATGCGGAAAACCCTTATTCACCATTCACCTCTCGTATGGATTGGGAGATTGCACAGTGGGCCAAGTAACATGGCCCGAGCTCAACAGCCTTTTCGGATTTGCTTGGTATTGATGGTGTAAGTGATCTTTTCCAAGTACCGAGTCAGACGTGACAAATCTTCATTCACAGGTTAGCGAACGCCTTGACCTTTCTTACAGAAATTCAAGGGAGTTGAATAATATCATCGATAAACAACTCCCTGGTCATCCGAAATTTCACCACGAACAGATCATTGTTGCGGGAGAATCTTTCGATATTCACTATCGAGACATCATGGAATGCATCAAGGAACTATATGGCGACCCAGACTTCGCGGACTACCTTGTTTTTGCGCCAGAGCGCCATTACACAAACGATGACGAAACAGTTCGACTATACGGCGACATGCACACAGGTACATGGTGGTGGAACACCCAGGTAAGAACTTCGTGTAGTATTACATTGCTATCAACTAACCTTGATGCAAACAGAAAAAGCTTGACGAGCAGCAGCCAGGGGCAACAATCATACCTGTTATCATTTCGACTGACAAAACTCAGGTGACGCTGTTCCGTAACAAAACTGCATACCCCGTCTACCTCACCATCGGAAATATTCCTAAGGAGATTCGACGCAAACCATCCCGACGTGCTCATGTCCTCCTCGCGTACCTTCCCACCTCCTGTCTGGAACATATCGACAACAAAGCCTCACGTCGTCGAAGTGCAGCAAATCTCTATCATGCGTGCATGGCACGTATTTTGTCGCCACTCGAAAATGCTGGTCTTGATGGCCTAGCTATGCGCAGTGGTGATGGTATCTCACGCCACTGTCATCATCTATTTGCTTGTTTTGTTGGCGATTACCCCGAACAAGTGCTTGCTGCCGCAGTCAAAACTACAGAGTGCCCTAAATGTGATATCCCAGCCAATGAACTACAGAGTAGCACAACTCCCTTTGAGATACGTGATCTCAACACCGTTCTTGACGCACTCACTATGATTGATATCGGAGACCTCGATTTCGTACAGGCATGTCGCGACGCTGGCATCAAGCCCGTCATTCACCCGTTTTGGGAAAGACTACCCTATGCCAACATATTCCAGGCCATCACGCCCGACATTCTTCACCAGCTGTACCAGGGTCTGGTTAAGCACCTTCTAAGCTGGCTCGCGCAGGCATGTGGACCATCCGAGATTGATGCGAGGTGCCGAAGATTACCCCCCAACCACCACATTCGCCTATTCAGGAAAGGCATAACTGGCCTCTCTTGTGTTAGCGGCACCGAGCATGCTCATATATGTTGTTTTATCCTCGGTGTAATTATTGATGTTCGACTTCCCGGTGGTTTCTCTTCGGCACGTCTTTTACGTGCAGTCCGTGGTCTCCTAGATTTCCTTTACTTGGCACGATATCCGTGCCATAGTTCAGAGTCATTATCTCTCCTCGACGAAGCTCTTGCCCTATTCCACGACAACAAACAAATATTCGTTGACCTTGGCGTTCGAAATCATTTCAATCTTCCGAAACTTCACGCCACTCGTCACTACATATCAATGATTCGCTTGTACGGCACGACGGATAACTACAATACGGAGTATACTGAACATCTTCACATCGACTTAGCGAAAGATGCCTACCGTGCAACAAATCACAAGGACGAGTTCGCGCAAATGACTCAATGGCTTGAACGCAAAGAGAAGATCATACGCCACCAGAAATTTATTCAGTGGCGACTCCACAACACTCCTTCTCGTCATCCTCGACCACCAGACCAATCATTTGACCGAACACAAACGTTGACAAAGCACCCAAGTGCTAGAGCTGTGTCTTTTCAACGTTTAATCTCAGATTATGGCGCCACTTACTTTCACGAAGCACTCGCTCGATACGTCGCGCAACAAAATCATTTAGATGAACCCCTCTCTCGCAGACGTCTCGAAGACCTTGCTGCAAACATACTCCTGCCGTTTCATTCTGTGGCTGTCTACCACAAGATAAAGTGGCTATCTGTCGATGCTCGAGGGCATGGTGACCCACTCATTACGGTGGATAGTGTCCACGTCAAGCCACATCGCACTGGCACTCGCCGACGAAATGATGCCCTGCCTGCTCGTTTTGATACAGCGCTTATAAGCGACGGCACTGGTCAGTCTGTTGGTGTCGAAGGTAATGCTCGATGGCCCTTATGTTACCTTTACTTACTAATATACAACTCGGACTTCACAGGCTATCGTGTTGGACAAATTCGTGCAATTTTCTCGCTGCGAGAAAGAGATGCACAGTTATTATTCCCTCCGACGAATCAACCTCCCAAACACCTTGCTTACATTGATTGGTTCACTCCATTTACTTCGGCACCAGATTCAAGACACGGGATGTACAAAATCACCCGTTTTGTTCGTTCGGGTGAGCGAGTTGCTAGCAAAATCCCTGTTTCGAATATTGCCCGCAGTGTACACCTTATCCCGAAATTTGGAGCAGTTGCACCTCGTCACTGGACGAGCAACAACGTCCTCAAGGAATGTGATGTATTTTTTGTTAATTCTTACATAGATAGGCATAGTTTTGTTACCCTTAGGTAGTACCCTCTAAACTTGCAATAATTGTTTCTATGTTATGAACATTATCGCATTTATGTATATCTACATCTAACTTGTGATAATTTATCGAGCTTAGACATATTTTGTCTATTTGTATCTAACTTAGGGCAGGAGGTTTTTCCTGATGTTGGCAACGACTTGGATCAGCATGGCTCGAGCTCAAGGGAGGATCGAGACACTCACAGTCTGCGAAGAGTGGGCAACGACTTGGATCAGCATGGCTCAAGCTCAAAGGAGGATCAAGACACTCACAAACTGCGAAGAGTGGGCAACGACTTGGATCAGCATGAATCGAGCTCGAAGGAAGACACTCACGTCCTGCGAAGAGTGGGCAACGACTTGGATCAGCATGGCTCGAGCTCGAAGGAGGATCAAGAAACTCACGGCATGCGAAGAGTAGGCAACAGATCAGCATGGCTCGAGCTCGAAGGAAGATCAAGACACTCACGTCCTACGAAGAGTGAGCAATGACTTGGATCAGCATGACTCGAGCGCAAACGAGGATCAACAGACGTACTACCTGTAAAAAAACACCCAACAAATAAATGAGAGCAACTTTCGAACATTCCCGTAATCTTACCCAAACATGCGGAAACCAGTCACCCAATTTAACTATTGCATCCTCAGATGAGATTTTCTCATCTGAGGCAACAAGCGCTGCAAGTGTCCTGGATGATAGTCAATAATGCTCGCGGCAGGCAAGTGATGGGTAGATACTTCTCAACTGCATATTTCATGCAGAGGTCTGCTGAGTCGAGACGAATAATTGCTGAAGGACTTGATCATCCAGAGTTCCAGCAGTCCGTTCGATGAGTGGCCCGCAATCAGCATTATCCTTGTTCATGTCTAATGAATCAACAGTCATCATGCATCAGACTTCGATGATCTACAGCTTACCTGGGAGGCAGACGTGGCATTTTGGAGGCCGTCGGATGATCTTTGGGTCGTATAGAGACTTGACTTGTGTCCCGTTCGCAAATGACTGCTCAGCGTGCTTTGGGGCCAGTCGTTTGGCATCTTTCCTTGACATTCCATTTTCTGTCAGTCGTGTGAATTCGGTGGCGTAGAGTGCGTCGAATTTTGTAAATATCACGATGACTGGAACTGAGGATCCAAGTCGCGAGTCAGTCACTGATCAACGGACAAGTCCAAAGCTTACTGCTTCCAGTGTTGCAGCGGGAGAAGAATTTGACTTCGGCTTCAGTAAAACACCGGCTTGCCTGATCCATAGGTATGCAATACCTGTGTCAAAGCAGTGAGCCAGTGAATGTCGCCAACTCGACCAATTACCATATAGCATGAATTCGATCCTTCATGTTTCCTTCCTTCGAACGGTCTACTATAAATTTGTTCATCCTGTCATACTCGGATTCCCCGCCTGCTTCAAAACCGCGCGAATCATGAAAGATGAATCCTGGGTTGGTTTGAAACACCATTTCGTTCTCGATGTCGTGCTCTCCACGCTGAGAAAATGTCAGTTTATGTTGCCGACTAATGGTACTAGTACACGTTATAATACCTCTCTAGATGCTGTCAAAACAGCGGCATCAATCTGATGTAGATGAAACAGCCATCACTATCAGCCTCGTACTAGCATCGTGATGCGCACCTTTTCCCCAGCACTATCAAATATTTCTGGGTTCTCTTTGGTATTGCACACCCTCTGGAGGATAGTAGTTTTTCCTGCATTCGCTCTTCCTATGATGAGAATTCGAAAGCGACCGATCTTCATTTTTATCCTTGAAGAATCCATGAAGGTAAATGGTAGCAATGAGACTGAGCGGTGAGAAATTTTCAGCGCTGAGAGTAGTAGACTTTGAACCACTATCAGTGTGTGAGTTCTGTGAGCGCTCTTAAGCTTGTCAAATCTAGATCTAGTGGTCAATGGGTTGTGCGTACCATGAGGCGTTGTACCAAACATTCTGGCGCCAGCCTCACAATCACCAGTTATGCACGATCCGAAGCTCACCTAGTCAGGTATTCACGTCCATGTTCATCCGGCCTATTCCGTCGACTCCCGCCCTCCCGGACACCTAACGGGTATGCAACCCGCGACGGATTCCCTCAATTGCCCCTCGTTCCTGTCCATCCATGTCCATCCATCCCCATTGGTGCGTTATTTCTCTCCTTTCATCACTCTGATCAAACAGCAGACTGTTTACATGTACATTCCCATACATGAGGCCGCTTGCCGTCCCTTACATATTATCGCGCTACGGCCTCGCCTATACTACCGTCGCTTAAGTGGGTCCCGAGTTTTCACGGGTTAAGATAAATAGTTGCATCGTACTCTACCAATATCACTTCCTTTTACTCCCTTGGATTTACTGTCTAAGTTGGTGTGATCAACAAGTCCCCTTAGTCTTCCGTACCGCAACGGACCTCTTCCCGTTCCTCGGATCACTTCCGGTAGCTCGTTACATCGAGACCTCGACACCTAGACACCTTGCCACCTCGATACCTTGCTACCTCGACACCTTGACCAAATCCGCACCGCTAGACATCCGTCCCATCAAAATCGTTCCCGTCCGGACATCTTCCTCTCACATCGGATTCCCCACCGCTCACCGGCCGCTCAGATCTTAAGCCCGTCGGATTGATTCCTTTGCATTTATTGCGAAGACATCCCTCAGTAGCAATCCCCTTGGGACGAGCTATAATACTCGCACTCAAAACGGATCGGTAGTCTACACTAACAGGCTACACGGAATCACTTTCGCTCAACTGGAGCCCACCGCGAGGGGATCATCTGACACCGCCGGCAGATCGCTTAGGCTCACTACCGCGCGTCGCGCAAAACAAGATCTTCAATCCATCCAGCTATCTCAAGAAGATTTCTTCGTTCCGGCTGACTCATACGTAGAAGAAGATACCGACGAAGAACCATTACACCTGACCCCGGACTCGTTATCCGCACCGGAAGAAGAAGAAAGAGACATTGTTGAATACCCGAGACTTCCCGGATCATTTAGTTTCCCTAACCGCCCGCTCATTTCTATAGACACTCCCTCTACCGAGTCATCCCTTAGTTCTAACCCTACCCGTATTCACACTCCCACGCTCCCCGTCCCCGATATACCTTCGAACACCTTACTACTTCCGTCCCCTCGCACCCGCTTAGAAGCACTCCCATCTTCCGCACCGTCCCCAAAAAGGGTATCCGCGCCTTACCAGTTTCTTCCGCCCCCTATACCCTTACCAGTTACACCCTTCCAACCACCCGCTCCGATTATACCTCCTATCATTCCGCTCGCAAAGATGTCAACTAACGTCTTCAGAATGCCGTTGAGGGGAACCGACGCCGCACCCAAATTCGACGGCACCCCCGGAAAGCTCCTTGCATTCATCGAGGACGTCAACCTGATATGTGATCACGGCCAAGTAACCGGTGAAGCCCGCATCAAGGCGGCAATCCGGTATGCACCTGCAGATGAAGCGGAAACATGGGAGATATTAGATGAAGCCGAGGCAGGACAGACGGACTGGGACAAATTTGTCACGGCACTCAAAGCGCTGTACCCCGGATGTGAAGGTGACAGACGATTCACTCGAGCTGACTTACAGAAGATTTCCGATGAGCAGGCACGCAGCCCCATGAGCTCTCAAAGTCGAGCTTGGCACGTACTACCGGAGCTTCTTCAAGGTATCCAAATTTCTCATCAGCAAGAAGAAACTTGCGGAACAAGAACGCAACCGCATGTTCCTGGACGGATTCCCGGCGGACATCAATGCAAAAATCCGCCATCGGTTGAGCATTCTGTTGGTTGACAACCATCCCGACGAACCATACGAATTTGAACACGTCTACAAGGCCGCCATCTTCCTATTGCCAGGCACCGCATCAGCCGCCACCCCAGCAGCAGCATACCCCGTGCCACGGAATAACTATCCGCCCAGGACACAAGCCGCCCCAAGTTCGCAAATGGCCCCAGGTATAGTCGTCAAGAAGGAGTTCATAGCCAGTCAGCCGCCACTACCATGCCACTTCTGTGGGGCAACAACCCATTTCTTCCGCTTCTGTAGGACAAAGGCGGAATATATCCGTGACGGAAAGATCGTAGAAGACCAAGGGCGGATATACATGCCTGACGGATCCGGTATTCCAGGATATAGGGAGCACGGCACCTTCAAAGAAAGAATCGATCAAGCCATACAATCGAGTCCGGCAACGGGCGCAAATGCCACGGTGATTGCAGGTTTGTACTGTCGCGCGCAACCACAAATCGAGATCGAGGAAGACATCGACGCATCCGCCTACCTTCACACACGGATGCCGGAGGAAGAAGAGGATGATGATGAAGAACTCCAGAGATTGCAGCAAGCAGCGTACGAAGCATGCCAAGCGTTCGCTAACACCCGCGCCGAACGGACTAAGTCCAAGGGTAAGAATGTTCGTTTTGACGGTATACAAGCCCCCGCCCCATCGCGGACCGCACCGGGATCATCATCCAAGGCGGTACCAGTAGAGGAAATCCGTTCTCCACAGGTAAAAGAGGCCGTTGCAAGCACGGGACCTAATCCGGGCGCTATCATCAAACCCGCTGCCACAGTAGCGAGCCCTGCCACATCATCATCCGCGAAACCAGCCATTAATGCCATCCCTCCTACTAAACCCTCTAGATTCGCCTTTCCGCTTGAAGACAAAGATGCGGACAAACGTGTCGTAAATCGAATGTTGGATGCTAGTATCAGCCTACCAGTTCGGGAACTCATTGCGGTATCACCGGACGTACGGAAAGTATTTCGCGAAATGACCACCACCAAACGGGTCACAGATGCACTCGTATCCGTCAACGAGTTGTCCGCAGCTCCGGATATAGGACATTGGCTTCAGAAGTATGATGATTGCCTGACACGAGCGGATGATGGACGAATAGTAGCGGACCATTTCGAAAGCTTACGATGTATCAAAGCTACCCTGGCAAGCGGCAAGGTAATCACTTGCGTCCTCGACCAAGGAGCAGAATGCATTGTCATGCCCA